TTGCTCTTCTCCACACTCGCATGTCATGGATTCCACTTTGTGGCCCCACTTCTGAAGGATGGCTCTGCATCTTGTAGTGTAGAGAGCAGTCTGTTCAGGGCCTTCCAAGTTGCCCAGTTTTCTGTGTGCCCAGGAGGGAACCCAGTGATTCCAGCCATGAAAGCCTTCGACAATACATTCAACATAATGTAGTTTGTGACTGTCACAAAAAAAAAAGTTTCTGGAGTATAACTACTACTTTCAAAGTAAGTCAGTGTTTCTCAACCTGGGGGGCAAAAAACCCTGGGCCTGGGGGGTTGTGAAGGGGTGTCACGGGGTCACCAAAGACTATCAGAAAACACAGTATTTTCTGTTGGTCATGGAGATTGTGTGTGGGAAGTTTGGCCCAATTGTATCATTGGTGGGTATCAGAATGCTCTTTGAATGTAGGTGAACTATAAATCCCAGCAACTACAACTCCAAATGTCAAGGTCTATTTTCTCTAAACTCCACCAGTGTTCACATTTGGGCATATTGAGTATTCGTGCCAAGTTTGGTTCAGATCTATCATTGTTTGAGTCCACAGTGCTCTCTGGAGGTAGGTGAACTACAACTCTAAAACTCAAGGTTAATGCCCACCAAACCCTTCCAGTATTTTCTGTTGGACATGGGAGTTCTGTGTGCCAAGTTTTGGTTCAATTCCATCATTGGTGGAGTTCAGAATGCTCTTTGAATGTAGGTGAACTATAAATCCCAGCAACTACAACTCCAAATGTCAAGGTCTATTTTCTCCAAACTCCACCAGTGTTCACATTTGGGCATATTGAGTATTCGTGCCAAGTTTGGTTCAGATCTATCATTGTTTGCGTCCAGTGCTCTCTGGAGGTAGGTGAACTACAACTCTAAAACTCAAGGTTAATGCCCACCAAACCCTTCCAGTATTTTCTGTTGGACACGGGAGTTCTGTGTGCCAAGTTTTGGTTCAATTCCATCATTGGTGGAGTTCAGAATGGTCTTTGATTGAAGGTTAACTATAAATCCCAGCAACCACATCTCCTAAGTGACAAAATCAATTCCCCCCCTTCCCCAACCCCACCAATATTCAAATTTGGCCATATTGGGTATTTTTGCCAAATTTGGCCCAGTGAACAAAAATAATAACAATGATGATGATAATGATGATGATGATGGAGAAACATGCAGTGGCAGATTATGTGAAAGGCAATCAAGAACCAACATTGAGGAAAGTCAATAGTAGTAAACTGTTTCAAGTGTAAAACACAAAGAGTGAATACCGTAAAAACACAATCCAGAGCAGAAGACAAAAATGGCAAAAGAAGGCTCTGCATAGACAGTTCCTGGGAAAAATTGAGAGCCAAATTGACAAAGAAAAAACATGGCTGTGGCTCACAAATGGAACTCTGAAAAAGGAGACGGAGGGCCTGATTCTGGCAGCCCAAGAACAAGCCATTAGAACCAATGCCATCAAAGCCAGAACTGAAAAGTTGATGACAGATCCCAAATATAGACTCTGCAAGGAAGCAGATGAAACAATAGATCACATCCTCAGCTGCTGCAAGAAGATCGCACAGACAGACTACAAGCAGAGGCATAACACCTTTGCTCAGATGATTCAATGGAACCCTTGCCAGAAATACCATCTGCCTGCAACAAAGAACTGGTGGGATCACAAACCGGAAAAAGTTACAGAGAATGAACACCTCAAGCTACTCTGGGACTTCCGAATTCAGACAGATAGAGTTTTGGAGCAAAATACTCCTGACCTCACAATCATGTACAAAGTGTGGATTGTCAATGTCGTAATCCCAGGTGACAGCCGGATTGAAGAGAAACAACTGGAAAAGCTGACACGATATGAGGATTTAAAGATCGAACTGCAAAGACTCTGGCACAAGCCAGTAAAGGTGGTCCCAGTAGTGATCGGCACACTGGGTGCAGTGCTTAAAGACCTTGGTCTGCACTTAAACACAATTGGCGCTGACAAGATTACCATCTGCCAGCTGCAGAAGGCCACCTTACTTGGATCTGCACACATCATTCACCAATACATCACACAGTCCTAGACACTTGGGAAGTGTCCAACTTGTGATCCAATACAACAGCCAGCAAAGTGTCTGCTGTGGACTCATCTTGTTGTGTTTCAAATAATAATAATAATAATAATAATAATAATAATAATAATAATAATAATTCCACCCTATCTTCCTGAGGGGACTCAGGGTGGATTCCAACATAACAATGGCAAACATTCAATGCATAAATAAAGCATCCTGCATATGAGATATTTACATTATGAAAATACATCCTGCATATCATAACAGTACAAAAATTACAGTTAGGAAGTAGCAACAAAACTAATTTTATGGTTGGGGTCACCACAACTAGTGGAACTGTCTTAAGGGGTCGTGGTATTATGAAGGTTGAGAAACACAGTCATTGAGTCTAAACCAGGCATCGGGTGTTTTGGACTTCAACTCCCACAATTCCTAAAAGGAGAGCCAAAGTTTGTCAATGTGTGGTCTAAACCAATTCAGTCTCACAACCTCTGAGGTGCTTGCCATAGATGCAGGCGAAATGTCAGGAGAGAATGCTTCTAGAACATGGATATATAGCCCAAAAAACCTACAAGAAAAAACCAGTGATTCCAGTCATGAAAGCCTTAGACAATACATCAATTCAACCTAGTTTGTGGCAGCCACAAAATGTCTGGAGTATAACAACTGCTTTCAAAGTAAGTACAGCCCAATTAAACAGGAAATAACTCTTTCAAACTAGAAACAGGAAACTTTTCAAAGTGTGTTAGGTAGTGTAATGGTTCTAGCATTTCTTCTCCCATATGATTGTATCTGCACAGCCTTGGAATCCCCCTCCCTCGGTTCCTAAAGGCTTCCTTCTTCCAAGGCTGGAACTGGGCAGGCCTCCAAAATAACAAAACAGAGAGCCCCAGCGAGGAGGCAGGAGTTCAAAGTTAGCAACGGGTTGCACAACTTCGACGCTGGGTGACTATTAACAGGCGGAAAGTGCGGCGGGCGGAGGAGGCTGCCCCAGGGAGACGCGGGTGGATGCCGTCCGCCTCTCTTCGGGTCCGGCCATGGCTCCCTTCGGAAGGAACCTCTTGAAGACCCGCCACAAAAACAGGTAAAGGTGCGCCTGAGACGTGGGAGGTCTGAACTGGGGAGATACCTGCGGGTAGGTTTCATTTTCACGTGATCCACTGAACTCCGGTTCTCTGCAGAGAGAGAGAGAGAAAGAGAGAGGAGGCCGTCCCTCCCTGGTTCCAACAAGACGCCAAATAGATTATTGATCAACATTGGAGTTTGACATTGAACTTGAAGGAGATGCCTAGGAGCTGATCAAGAGCCGGGGTGCCTCGTTTCCCTCTCTTGTTCCAGAAAGAGAGAACTTTCCTTCTCTTTCTTCTGGCTCTGCTCCTTCAGGAAAGCGTGCATTTGCACCAGGCAAGGGTAAACTTGGACCCTCTATGTGTTTTGGACTCCAACTCCCACCATTCCTAACAGCCTCAGGCCCCTTCCTTTTCCCCCTCAGCCGCTTAAGCGGAAAGGGCCTGAGGCTGTTAGGAATGGTGGGAGTTGGAGTCCAAACACATAGAGGTCCAAAATTTCCCCATGCCTGAGCTACACTATAGAATGAATGCAGTTTGGCAGCATTTGAACTGCCATGGCTCAGTGTTGTCTGATCCTGGTAGTACAAGGTCTTTAGCCTTCCCTGCCAAAGAGTACTACAACTCCCAGGATTCCATAGCATTGAGCCATGGCAGTTCAAGTGGGGTTAGACTTCATTAATGAATATGCATCCAGGGAGAAAGCTTTCCTTTTCTTTCTTCCTACTCCACTCCTCCAAATAATGCTATTGTGTTGTGCAGATTTTCATGGCTAGAATCACTGAGTTGTTGTGAGTTTTCCAGGCTGTTATAGCCATGCTCCAGAAGCATTCTCTCCTGACGTTTCGCTTGCATCTATGGCAGGCATCCTCGGCAACACTCAAACAGCAGGGGAAATCCAGACAAGAAACAATCAGGGCCAACTAATCACCTCCCAACAAATTATTATTATTATTATTATTATTATTATTATTATTATTATTAATAATACCCCACCATCATCTCCCCAGCTTACATGAGGCCAAGCCCAGCGATACATCACAGCAGCATAAAATAGAAACAACCAAATAACATTACAATAAAAATAAATAAACCAATCAAGTAAAATAAATAGTACAAAATAACATAATGAAAAATGAAAGAAAATAAATAAAACAAAGAAAAGAAAAAGAAAAGAAAAGAAAAACAAAGGATGCCCCGGGCAGTAGGCAGCTAGACCTTGAAGCTGCAAGGCCATTAAATGCTAATCAAGGTAGCCAATTGCAACATTGACAAGCATCTATGGCAGGCATTCTCAGAGGTTGACGCTTCAGTGGGAAACTTAGGCTCCTCCCTAAACTACAAACCCCAGAATTCTGCAGGAGGCAGAAACCAGATTTTAAGTGGACTTTGGCAGGCATCCTCAGAGACTGAGGGGTCTGTAAGAAACTAAGTAAGTAGAATGTGAAATGTCCAGGATGCGGGAAAAACCTCTTTGTCTGCTTGAGGTATATGTGAGTGTTGCAATTGGCCACCTTGATTAGCATTGAATGGCCTGCAGTTTCAAGGCCTGGCTGGTTGCTGCCTGGGGCAATCCTTTGTTGAAAGGTGTTAGCTGGCCCTGATTGATTCTTGTCTGGAATTCCCCTGCTTTTTGAGTCTTACTCTTTATTTACTGTTCTGGTTTTAGAATTTTTTAATACTGGTAGCCCAATTTTGTTCAGACAAGAGTTTTTTCCCCCACCCTGGACAAACCACACTAAAAAAAGTCCACTTAAAATCCGATTTCTGCCTCCTATTGAAGCCTCCTCCCTAAACTACAAACCCCAGAATTCTGCAGGAAGCAGAAACCGGATTTTAGGTGGATTTTTCTCTCTCTACTGTGTTGAGGTCCAACAGACCTCTCAGCCTCTGAGGATGCCTGCCATAGATGTGGGCGAAACGTCAGGAGAGAATGCTTCTGGAACTTGGCCATACAGCCCAGAAAACTCACAACAACCCAATGCTACTGTGCTTTTCAAAACATTCTGGAGACTGGATTCAGCCGGGCGTTCATGGGAAGCAGCTACACTGTAGAATGAATGCAGTTTGACTCCACTTTTAAGTGCCGTGGAAACGTGGGAGTTGCAGTTTTACAAGTTCCTCCGCCTTCTCTGCCAAGGAGTGCCTGGTGCCTCATCAAACTACATCTCTCATGATCCCATAATGCCATGACACCATCCCGAGTGGGAGATCCCTAGCCACCAGTGTTGCAGCGCCCCTCTTCCGAAAGGGAAATCCATGCCAAGTTCCTGCGCGAGGCAGTTTGGAAGAGTGGATTGGAAGAGGGTGTTTTCCGAAGGGAAAGGGAAGCCGAGCGGACTTCACTGGCAGGATCAATTCCTTCCCGTCTCAACTTTCCTGAAGTTTGTCTGAAACTTGTCAAGGATCAAACTTTGCTTTTTCCCCAGGCAACTTTTCACTGTAAGTTTGCTAAACTCAGAGGGAAAGGCGCGTGGATGTTTGTGTGTGTATTTTAATGAGTTCATCTGCAAAAGTTGAAAGCTACTTTGCATTCTGGTCTGTTCTCCTGGAGAGAGAGAAGTCTTCTGTTGTTTTGAATTCTGTCGCTAAGTTCCTATCCGACAGGACAACAACAAAAAAAGTGTAACTTCCCTTTCGGATAATAGAGGATTGTAATGCAAGGTCTTTCTTTTCCTTCCCACTCACTTCCAGGGGGTCTTTTGCCCTCATCTCCCAGATAATCAGGCTTGCTCCTACTCTTCCTTTGCCAAATATTCTCAGGGGAGGGAAATGCATGCTTGGGATCTGTGATTATTTTCAACTGCTGGTGTGGCTTTACAGTCTGAAGTGGAAGTAACTGAGATGTAACCTGATAGTTTAGATGTTGCCTTGGAAATGGCAGTGATTTAACAGTGGATGGGCAGATAAAGTTGGGGTACTTTGGTTTGTGGTCTCACAAACTCTTCTGTTGCCATTTTGACTAGAGGTGTGTTTGGTTCCTGCACTTTTACTATGAAGTCTTTCGCTTCCCAATCTGAATCTGTGTTTGTTTTCTTGTGGCTCTGCTTATTTCCCTCCCTCTACACTTGGGTACTGAAAATCTGTTTTAAGGGTTGTTGTGCGTTTTCTGGGCTGTATGGCCATGTTCTAGAAGCATTCTCTCCTGACGTTTTGCCTGCATCTATGGCAGGCATTCACACAGATTGTGAGGTGTGTTGGAAACTAAGAAAATGGGGTTCATATATCTGTGGAATATCCAGGGTGGGAAAAAGAATTCTTGCCTGTTTGAGGCAGGTGTGAATYTTGCAATCGACCACCTTGATTAGCATTTAATGGCCTTGCAGCTTCAAGGTCTGGCTGATTACTGCTTGGGGAATCCTTTGCTGGGAGGTGATTAGCTGGCCCTGARTGTTTCTTACCTAGTTTCCAACAAACTTCACAACGGGTTGTTGTAGGTTTTTCGGGCTATATGGCCATGTTATAGAAGCATTCTCTCCTGACATTTCGCCTGCATCTATGGCAATCATCCTCAGAGGTTGTGAGGTCTGTTGGAACTAGGAAAATTGGGTTTATATATCTGGAATGACCAGCGTGGGACAAAMAACTCTTTTCTGTTGGAGCTAGATGTGAATATTTCAACTGACCACCTTGATTAGCATTTAATGGCCTTGCAGCTTCAAGGTCTGGCTGATTACTGCTTGGGGAAATCCTTTGTTGGGAGGTGATTAGCTGTCCCTGATTGTTTCTTACCTCGTTTCCAACAGAGCTCTCAATGGGTTGTTGTAGGTTTTTCGGGTTATATGGCCATGTTATAGAAGCATTCTCTCCTGACGTTTCGCTTGCATCTGTGGCAAGCATCCTCAGAGGTTGCGAGGTCTTTTGGAACTAGGACAATTGGGTTTATATATCCTACCCTGAACATTCCATAGATGTATAAGCCTTTGACAATACATCAGACTTTACAACCTCTGAGGATGCCTGCCACAGATGTGGGTGAAAAGTCAGGAGAGAATGCTTCTGGAACATTGCCATATCGTCTGGAAAACTCACAACAACCCAGTGATTCTGGCCATGAAAGCCTTTGTCAATACATTAATCTGTTTTGAGTTCTTTCAGAGCTACATTTACATTTATAAGTGATAATGCGCGAATAAGGTCAATGGTGAAAGTAAAATAATGGAATTGCTGGTTACTCTTTTCAGTAGTAGAGGCACGTAGCAATAAGAATGTGTGTTCAGAAATGTGGCTGAAGACAAAATAATTATTTCAAATGTTTTTCTGTGGATATTCAAAAGGCAGAAAGTGAGCTGTGATCATCTTATGACAGTTACCTGGGATGAAGCCTCATGGGACACCATGACATTTATTTCTGGGTGAATATGCGTAAACATCAAGTTTCAAAGGCTTACTCCTGATTGCTTTTCTGGAACCGAATGCTGGAGAGAAAAGAAAACAGAGAAGTTGGAAAAGCAGTTTTAAGAACTTTTTCTGGAGTTATGTATATATGTGTGTAGTTTGAAATAAGCAAGATGGCAAAATGTACCACCTGTTTTTCTGGGAAAGGAGTATCAGTCCCCAACTTTCTAATGGGTTTGTTTTGTTTTTGCTGTCTCATTGTGGTGAATAGTGGAGAGCAAGTACTGGCACAATAACAGAGGGCAGCAACACAGACAAAGACACCCTTCATTGCATTACAGTACTGGAACCAGAGGGGCAATTGTGTAAGTTTGTTCCTGGTAGAGATCTGTGTCTCATCATTCAAGGGCTGCCAATGGAGACGGCAAGAGGATATTGTGCATCTGAAATGATGCAATGAGATAGGGCTTATTGTCTTGCACTTTCTGTCTTTGCCAATCTAATTGAAATCTTGCCCTGAGCAGGGTCTGCCTGTCAAACTTTTAATTGGTATCTTCAAGCTATTGGATAGGAAGTAGACATTTCTGACTCCCTGTTCCCAGTTTTGGACTTAAATATAAATACTGCTTGTGTGTTGTTATGGCTAGGTGTGTACAAAATCTCATACATGTTCATTTGAAATCAACAGAAGTGTTGTGAGGCCTGTTGGGAAGTTAAGTTAGCCTCATAATACTAAAGAAGAATTCATAGAAATAAATAATCATAACAACAACAACAGAGGCATAACATCATTACTCAGATGATTCATTGGAACTTGTGCCACATATACCATCTGCCTGCGACAAAGAACTGAGGGGATCACAAGCTGAAAAAGTCACGAAAATGAAAATGTCAGACTACTCTGGGACTTCTAAATTCAGACTGACAGAGTTTTTTTGAAGCACAATACTTCTGACCTCAGGATCGTGCGGGGAAAAATAAGTATGGATCCTCGATGCTGCAATTCCATGTGACAGCAGGATTGACCAGAAACAACTGGAAAAGCTTACACAATATAAGGATTTAAAGTTAGAACTGCAAAGACTCTGGCACAAGCCAGTCAAGGTGGTCCCAGTGGTGATCGGCACACTGAGTGCAGTGCCTAAAGACCTTGGCCTGCACTTAAACACAATATGCGCTGACAAAATTACTATCTGCCAGCTGCAGAAGGCCACCTTACTCGGATCTTCACGCATTATTTGTCAATACATCACACAGTCCTAGACACCTGGGAAGTGACTGATGTGTGATCAAATACAAAAGCCCGCATAGTGATCTTGTTTGTTGTGTACTAATCTTGTTATGTATCAAATAATAATAATAATAATAGAACTTTATTTATAGACCACCCTTTCTCACCGAGGAGACTCAGAGTGGTTTACAACACAAAAAACCAAACATTCAAAGCCCAGACAAATGTAAAAAATTCAATTACAATAATGCAATATAATAAACATGATAATGGCAGTGAACGTATTGTATTAAAATGGATGTCAAAATGAAAAACAAGATACAAATAATCACATAGAAACAGGTTACACTAATCATATACTCAACATGAAAACATCTCATATACCCCAAAACTACCTTTATACCCTACACTTATATATATATGAGATACACAAAGTGGAATTGAGAATGTCATCAGTATTTTATCTCTTAGTTGCAGACAATCTTGCTATATTATTATGGTAACAGTTGAATTACTTCATTGAAGTAAAAGTGGAAACTCACAAGTGTCTGTATAGTCAGTGAGACTTAGGCCTCATCTACACTGCCAGGGTAGACTCATAAAATGCAGTTCAATGGAGTTAAACTGCATTATTTGAGTCTCCACTGATCATATAATGCAGCTTCACACTGCATTATATGGCGGTGTTGATAGGGCATTGGTTCATGTAAACTTGTTGGATTTTTTAAAATAAAAAATCATAACATAAACAGGCCTTTTCACGCTATGCAGCTACACCACTGGATCCCACTCTTAATTGCCATGGCTACATCTTGTGGAATTTGGGGTTTTGTATCTTAGGGAGGGTCTATGGCTCTCTGCCTGAGAATTCTAAGAACCCTTTTCTAAACTTCAGATCCAAGGTTCCATAGGATGTTACCATGGAGTTAAAGTGGAATATTGGCACTATAACTGTGCAGAATAGAAGGGACCTAGCTCCAAAAGTGCATTCAGCCAAGGATTTGGATGGCAACAATAAACAGTTGGATACTGTTGGGTAGTATATAAGCAGGATATGAAAATCAGATCTTTTTCTTTATTTGTGGTCATCTGGTGTTCAGAAAGATCCTGTTGGTGTTCCCAAAGGCTCCATGTATTTATCATGAGTTGAATAGTTTGTTGTTTGTGACCATGCATTGAGATGGAATTGAGGGTCCTTCTTACGCTTAGTCATAAGAACATTAGTTGTTTAGAATTTGAAGTACAATTGGTTGCATTTGTCACATACTGGCAACTTGTTTATGTAAGCGACCACATGCAAGTGATCCACATTACACCACAGGGACCATGGAAACACATGAAAGCAGGAATTAGAACTGAAGAAAGATTTCGGAAAGGCGCCTAAGATAGCAATGATTGTATGTCAAAGCAGGGTTGGATAACTAGTGTCCCTGGGACACTTTGGAAGCCAGATGGACTACCAAAACCACATCCATCACCTGGAAATAGGTAGAAGTGGCCTTTTGGCTTTGAAAAAATAGGCCATGCAATCTAATTGAAAAGTGAATTGCTGTTGCTGGAGGTTTCATCAAAGGCAATTCATCCTATTTTGGCCTGATGTGAGGTGATCCAAGATGTCTGGAGGGGTCAAAACCTGTAAAAGCAGTCTCGTGGATCAGCAAATTGGCCATCTTGTCTTTTGAATTAAAATGATCATCTAGTTTTTCATTTTGAGTATAGAATGCTTGCTTAGAGTTATTCAGTGGGTTTGTGTGTTGAGCTATAACTCTCTGCTTATTGATGTACACCCCCCCCCCCCGGGTGACCTTGAGCACATCAACCGCAGAGGAAGTCAAAAACACACCCCTTAGGAATAAATCTTGCCAAATAGTGA